TTTTTTTTTTTTTTTTTTTTTTTTTTTTTTTTGATGTTTACTGAATGTTTTTCCTACTTGGCAAGTTCTTTGTAGGTTTAACACTTTATGTTTTTGTAATCTTTTCAGTCCTGTTTGATGTTAGCAATCTTTGGATAAACTTTGTCTAGGTACATCTAGAACAATAAATCTTACGAGTTAATTGTACTTTTCGCTACAGTTTGTATACTTTACAACCAAACGGTCTTTTAACGGAGTTGATATTAATGTAAACTGGAAAAAAAAAACTTTTTATCATCACTATAAAATTTATAAATTTATTTTAATGCTCGACAAACATTGGCAGTTCTTTATTCTTTTTATGCTACCTTAGCAAGATATCTACTAAATTGTGCTTTATAGCTGTTTAACCTACTGTTACGTAGGTTAAAATTTTTATGTAGTAATTTACTTAGAGACTATTTTTGTTAGGAATACGGGCTCTGTTCTAATGAGTAGTTATTTTGTCTCAAATCTTGAAATGTTCGATTTGCTCAGCTAATTTTCTGCTAAAGTTTAAAACTTTATTGAAAATTTTCTTTCTGTTAGGCAATACCAAACGGGTTGTATCTGTTTACCGACTAAAAGTTTCAGTTTTTAAGAGTACAATTATGTGAAGTGCTTTTTTTTTCCGTTAATAGACACAAATTTCATTTTGCTTTGAACGCTTAAGACAGTCTAAATCAAATTTGGCTGGATCATTTGCGCTTAGGTTCAGCTTTAATAAAACCACTAATATACAAACTGAATAGCTGTAAACATCTTGGGATAAAAACGTATAATGTAATCAGTTTTCTTTCAGTTTTATTTCTACATTTTATCAGTGCAAAAACTATGCTTGAGAAACTTTTAGCCAAAACTTTAGATTTTTTGATACTGAGAAGACGAATCAAAGAAAATCAGTTAGTTTGGTTTTTTTTTTGGCTGCTATGCTGTTACAATGTTATTAGACCAGTAGATATTTCCCATTTCTTCAAAAAGAAAAAAAAAACACATTAGCTCAGCGTCGTTCAGTGGCAAAAGATATTCAAAGTTATTCTGATCGGAATAAAATGACATGAAATATTTAAACGATGATCACATTTTTTTGATTTTGATCTTTCAAGAATGTAATACTGAAGACAAAAACTGTAAACTGACACCATTTTGTAGTGAAGAGCAAAAAGAAAAAATTTTGTTAGATGTTCAACTTTAACATTTTATTTTTTTATCTTTTTTTGTTTAATTGAACAAATAATTTCAATGAGTGTCTGATAAAATGGATTTTAAACTGGTGGGACATCAAAGTTTTATTTGAGAAAATAATAATTCTTTTTGTTTTAGTGAAAGCAAACAAATTTGTCACATATTTCTTGTCGAACAATAAACTGATAGTTTTTTTCTTTTTTGACCCGTATTTGCACAAAAAAAAATACATCAGCCATCAAATTCTATATAAACATAGTTTCATCTCAATGAAGCAAGAAAAAAAAAAAGCAATGAGTTACCACTACGATGACGCGAATGACGTTTCAGTACAGAAGAATCCAATTGTGGTTTGT